AGTCATGAAACGCAAACCAATAGTCCTGAGTGGCTCAAAGGACTTCCTGTAAGAGTTTGCAGGACTTTGGACAAATCCCACGTAGGATACCTGTGGACAACCAGAGGATGTAGATTCAATGCCCCTCTGAGAAATCTGCAGACTAAAGAATAGTGAGCAATGGATTCCAATGACCCCCATAGATAAGACAGAAGATAAAGTTGCTATCTGTCTGGGAAGACTATTAGGCAACAGTCCCTTGTCCAACCCGTCCTATAGAAATTCAAGAATGTCCCCAATAGAGGCCTCCATGGCCGAACGACTAGTCTTATTGCACCAAATGCAGAAGGTCCTCCAAGTTGCATCATAAATGTGGTGTCGCGACTCTGCAACATACGCGTTTGCATCAAAGCCATAGCGACCTGAAGGATGGCATTCCTCTTCATCAGAATATGTCCTGTATCATAATATGCGCGGTCTATGTAAAATGCTGTGAGGTGAAACTCTATGCATTAACCACGATTCATGTGATTGAGTTCATACTAATAATTATTAAAAATGGTAATCATGGGTAATAAGGGGTAATGAGGGGAAATCATTATAAATATCGAGTCTCAGGAAACTTGGGTTAGATCCAACTTTATTTTGTTTGCTTAGCTATTATCTTGGACTCCTTGCGAAGGAAGGAATAAACAATAAGCTTTTGTGTTAAAAAATACTGAAGCGAAGAGTGTCTTATTTTCTCCGTGCATTTGTGCCAAAGAGTAGCTGAGATATGGTTGGTAGAAGCCTTTCCAGATGCCTATATAGTATCTATGACTGTTGTGGTTAGCCAGCCGCAGGAGCAGATGGGGAGGAGAGCAAGGACTCGGATGAGGGGTCGCGACTATCAGGGAGTGGACTGCTGCCTTCAGGGATTGTGGGAGGTGGCAGCAGTGATGAGGAGGTTCCTGAGGAGCCTGTGCCAAGTGCGCGTGAGTGCAGGATGATTTGTAGAAGAGAACAGCTGGAGCAGCACAGGCAACTCAGGAGTAAGGATGCAATGTTAATGGCCCCTCCCTCCAGAGAATATAAGCCTGGTTTCAAAAGGTTTTTGCTTTTGCAGAAAGCAACAGTGTTCTAAGGACTCAGCATTGTGTGTGGAGACTCCGGCTTATTTGAAGAATTCTGTCAAGGCTTTTCTGGTTGGACTATTTGGCTGCAAGCCATCTTTTATCTACAAAGAAGTTATTTGTAGATTAAAGCTGAGAAGGTTTGAGTTGCTGTGTTTGTTTGAGATTTTCTTGCTGATAACAGGGTTGGGTCAGAACAATGACTAGCAGAGAAACTGTCCTTACTTAACAATCCCCACTCAATCTCCATATGGCTAACTGAAGCCATTGGGGCTCTGGATGCAGCAGAGCTCCCTGGGTGAGAGAAATCTTGGATGGAGGAATCCTCCATGGGGGAGTCACTGATAGGTTCACCAGATCTGCGAACCAGGGACATCTGGGCCAATGAGGAGCCAGGAGTAAAACTTCCACCCGCTCTGACAACTATTTTCTGATTACAAGTGGAATGAGAGGTAGTGGAGGAAAGGCATACATTAGACCTTTTGGCCACTGGCACCGAAGAACATTGATTTCCTCTGTCCCTGGTGTGTAGAACCTGGTGAAATACCTGGGGAGTTGAGCATTGAGCAAAAAGGTCCATGACTGGGGCTCTGAAAATGCTGGTGCGTCCTGATGTCAGACACTGGCACTCGCTCCTGCAATTGTTTTGACCAGTGGAGCGACACCCATGTGAAAAAAGATGCCACTGTAGAGGCAGGGGCCACTCAGGCCTAGGCCTGATGGGACCTTTGCAGGATATTTTCTGAGCATTTATCCCCTCCCTTCAATGCATCCTCTGGTTCTGTGGGAGTCTCTGAGGAAGATGCGGAACTAACCACTGGTGGATCCACTGAGGGAAGCTGCAAAGCCTTGGTCAAAGCCAGACCCACACTGTAGAAATTTTTCTCTGAGGAGGATGGGTTAAGGCCAGTGCCTGGAGAAGCGCATTGCTTTAGCACTACATCCAGGAATAGTCTAGGTGATGATAAGACCTCTGCCTGGACAGTGGCCCGGGAGAATAAAGAATCCCCTTGGAGCTGTCCTTGAGGGCTTGGCTCTACTAAGGTCTCATCTGGGACTAACTGGGCTGTATAATTGGCCTTATGTAACAAGGGTTTGAATAGGAAGTGTCAAATAAACCTGAAAATATAGGTGTTTCAAATGAAACATCCTCATCTTCTGAGAAGTTAGGGCCCCTCATCTCACCTTCCTCCAGCCAATTAGGGCAATGTAACCCCTATCGCCACTCCGCTTGCTACCTGTAACGATTTACAGTCTGTAGACTTGATTCGCTGGTGTCCTCATCGCAGGGAAATGATCTCTGGCCCTGGAAGCACCTTGTGGGGGGCTCAAGGTCCCTTCCGGCCCCCCTGCAGTATCTTCTCGGCAGTCTCGGGTCCCCAGATCCACTGCAATCTTTGCGCGATCAACTGTTCCAAGCCAATCACACTTCTTTTTGCTTTAATTTTGAATTTTTGCTGAATTTGTTAGCTTTCCCTCTGAGAGAGCCTATTCAGAACACGGCTGTCTCGTGAGCAGACTGAACAGAAAGCTAAGGTATCCATAGCAATGGTAGCAAGATCAATGATTTGGCAGGCTCAGTCACGTGACGAGTAGACGAGGACTCTAGACTCTTGCAGCATCTAACGGAGAACATTCTATTCCAATAGCATGAAACATTCTGTGCCAGTTAGCATGAAAGGCAATCTTTATCATGTTTCTGTTCATTATATATATTTTCTTTTAGAACTCAAAATGTTTTTAATCAGTGGCCTGTTTTCTTAATTTCTTGTTGGTAAGGATGCTAGCATTCCCTTATGCTTTTAAATCTTCATCTCGAGTCAATTCTTATTTATTTTATGTAATTATTTAGTTATACGCCAAATGATATACTGAAATTAGGGCCACATAGCTGTTTTCCACCAACTATGTAGAAAGTTACACAAACACTTTGATGCTTAGCTGCATAATTGCCCCAACACTGATTATATATTACCTTATATATGAAAAGGTTACTGCTACGTAGTACTTTCCCCCAAGTGGAATTTATTTAATAAAACTAACTTCTAGCCACTTTCTACAGAAGCGCAAAAGTTAGCCGATTACTCTTGATTTTCCTTTTTATTACATTTTATTAATTTCATTGTATTTCCTTTAATAAATCCAATATCAATGTACTAAAATGTAGTATTAATTTTCTACCCCAGCTGTGAACTTGTGGCTGATCCAAATTGAAAAAGTAAAAAAATTGCACAGCCAGAATACCGATACAAAGAATGAGTTAAGCAGATTTGCTTTCTCTCTGTTGCCTGTTACTTCCTTGCCGTCTTCTCTCTTTAGGGCACTGACTGTTTCCTTGCTTTTTTTCTTGTTATTTATATGTTGGAAGAAACTTTTTTTTATTATCTTTAGCATCTTCAAAATGGACAACTATTTAAAATCACAATTGCCAAAACATCTCAGGGAGACATTTACCCACACAAGATTTGAACAGGTTGATACAATGGTTAGATTTGGGAGGTTCCATTCTATCCCATACAGTGAATGTACATGTTCTTAAAAAAAGCTCTCCTCTGCCATAGCAGAACCCCTAAGCTTTATATATGAGATATCAATCAGAACCAGCTCCTTACCAAACCTATGGTCCTTAGCTATGGTCATCCCTAACTTCAAAAAAGGTGACCCCAGCCTGGTTGAAAACTACAGACCAATCTCACTGTGTTGTCTCACGTGCAAAGTCATAGAATCAATCATTAACCAATTCATCACCCTCCACTTAGAGTGTGTGACCTGAATCTGAAAGCGATGTTTTCTGACTGAAATAGCCGAAGATTGGCAATATGTGAGCCTGATTGGGATAGATTGCAGAGGTGATACATAAATACCATTTTATGTCATTTTATTCTAATTTACATATTTATGTATTAAATTATTGTATTTTATTCTTACCTATTGTATTTTACCCTACTCTAATTTTAAATTGTTTGTTTGGAATTTTATTGGTAATATGTGTTTGAGCCTGTACACTGATATGGCTTATAGGATAATGAATCAATAAATGTAATATAGTACTAGCAAGTTTATACCACAGTTGGAGCTGGGAGGAAAAACAGCTGCATAACTTTATTAAAAGCCTAAGAAAAGTGAAACACCTCAAGAATAGCCACAAGCAACATGTTCAATTGCTACAAAATGCTGGGAAATTAAAAGAAATAGAAAAAAAACCGTAGAAGAAAATGGAACAAATTATTCTGAATATAGCCAAATATAGGTGGAGCAATAAGGATCCAAATAAAGATTTGGGGAAGAGAATTAAGTATCTTTAAAGAGGCTGGAATTCTACACAGCATAATCATGACTCAATTAAAAGTGCTAATACATTATTTTTATTGTGTAATTATACTAACCCAAATGTATGGAATTTAATTGGGGCGTGGTGGGCACCTTCCTTTGTCTCATTTTTCAGCTGCTTCTTGCGCATTTTTTTCCCCACGCAAAACGTTCTTTAGGGCACTATTGCGGGAGCTCTCTTGAATCGCACCACTGGGATTCACCTGTTAGGTATAAATTCCGCTTTTGGGGAATGAAGCCAAGTGGCACCCTATGCGAACTCATAAACGAACGTTTCAGGGTTGGGCGTCTTCGGAGCTGCAGCAAACCACACCCGCAACGGAAAAGCAAGCGGGATTTGTTACCGGGCAGCAGGAAACTCCATCCTTTATTAACGGATGATTCAATATGCGCGTGTGCATGTTTCGCAGGTTTTCCCAATCGGATGCAACCAAGCGGGGTATGGGATTGGGTAGATAATTTATTCCCCGCCTCGTGAAAGGGGGGGGCAGTCGTCCCCCCCCCCCCCGAATGTGACTAGGTATGGCTGTCATGCTGATTTCTCAAATTCCACCAGAGAGATAACAAAGGAGAACTTACTTTTTGCAAGGGATAAACCTCTTTTTTTCTTCCAGAATACGGAGGCGCTGGTTGGGACTGTCGTAAGACACCATGGCGCGGATATTTCTGCCACTGCTATGCTCGTATTCCACCGTGCGGCCCTCCCATTGCAGCGGGGCCTGGCAGGGGACGACCGGTTGGGTCCTTGCTGCCCACAAGTTTAAAAAGATGCTAATAATGATCAGCAACGCGGAAAAGCCGTGGCCGATAGCGACAGTTTTGGGGGCCATGCCTTCGCCTACGTTGTCTTCCGCTTCGCGCGTTTAATGTTACAGATTCGGGCAGAATCTCTTCGTAGATGACTTTTTCCTCCGACGGCGTGCCCCTGATAGTCAATAACAGCAGTGACGGATGTGGAAGGCTACGAAATGAAACGTCAGCTGCTGCTCGCCACGCCGAGATTAAACAGGAACTGCAGAGGGAGTTATCGCCACCGTTCTGCCAAAAGAGCCTCGATCTTTACCCAAGGAGCTCTGCGCTTCTGCGCAGGGAAAAGAACGTGGGTTTTTTGGTTTTTCCTGCTGGATCATAATGGCTGCAGATCGCCGGCGGTGCTCTTGTAGGACTTCGTAGCAATGGTGTCGATGCCCTAAGCAGGAAACATAGTCGATTCGTCAGTTGTAGTTATATCCTCATGATTGTGGTCGTAGGTAGCATTATAAAGCAGGGTGAAGTCTTCTGCCTGCAGAATTTTAGATGTTTAGATGTTCTTAGAGGCGTTTCGTTACAAAAATTACAAAAAAAATTCGTTATATTTAGTATACATTTCTTACTATGATTACATTCATATTAAAAACTACTCAACCTTATATATCTTATTATAATATTCATATAACTTCTTTATTTTCCAACCATTTATAAAATCTATATCATATAATATTCTGCTACTTGTTCTTTAATTGCTAATGTTAATCTATTCATTTTTGCACATTCCCAATATTTTCATGATCACCTCTTCCTCTATAGTAATCTTTTCATTTTTCCAATTGTGAGCAAATACAATTCTAGCTGCTGTTAATATGTGTATGATTAAATATGTTTTTTCTTTACTATAATTTTCGGGTAAAATCCCCAATAAAAATATCTCCGGTTTTAAGTCTATGTGTTTTATCATCCTTTGCAACCATGTGTGTATTTTTGTCCAATATCTTTTAGCTTCTGTACATGTCCATCTCATGGTAATATGTTCCGTTTGTCTGGTGATATTTCCAGCATTTAGCTGATTTATCTTTAAACATCTTTGCCAGTCTTGCTGGTGCAAACATCTTATACAGATTTTCTTTATATGCTGTTGACATTGTTAGTTTATAATTTCTATTCCATAGTTTCTGCCATTTATCTAATTCTATCCCATAGCCAAAGTTTTTCCCCCAAGCTATCATTGTCTCCTTCACTTCTCCTAATTTCACTCCTAGTAAATAGCTAACAAGCCACGTTCTCTCAGTTGTAGGAAGGAGGCAATGACAAACCACTTCTGAAAAAACTTGCCAAGAAAACTGCAGGGACTTATCTGGACAGTCTTTGAGAATATGACATATTGGAACAAAAGAAAAAAAATCCATATGATTACATTTGAATCCATTCCATAATGTGATCATGTTTCACAAACATTGGAAGCGCATATATAGTCTGGTGATTGTCCATTTGCTAACAATGATATTAATGATAAGACCTTTTTCACATTTTCTTGGAAATAAACACAGTTTATCTCTGCGGACATTGCCCCAGGGGGGCACGGTGTGATTCAGCCGGTTTGCAGTGGTTCGGCCAAACTGGTAGTTTTGTGTGCTGTTCAGTGAACCTGTTGAATCACCATGCCCAGCCCTGCCTCGCATCTCACCTGTCCCCCCCAGCCCTTCCTCCTTTTGCCCGGCCTCTCCTGAGGCCATTTTGGCATCTTGGCGCTCCTATAACCAACCCCCATATCCCTTCCAAACAAGCAACATCTGCTTAGGCAAAAGCCTAAGGCAGCTCTAACGCACCTGAGGGAGGGGCTAGAGCTACTAAACAGGCAGCCAAGCTAAGTGCCTGAAGATCCAATCCATTACTGGGAGTCCAAGCACTTCAGCGGGCAGCAAGCAAGGCCGGACTCTGCCCTAAGGTGGCCAGGAGCATCGTTAGGGCTCCTGTGAAGAAGGGCTCAGGTTCTGTCCCTATATATCTCTCCATGAGTCTGGCCTTGCACTATTCCTCCTCCTCCCCAACAGGTATCCCAGAGCTGCTGCCATTCCTGCACCCAGGTGAGGCTGCCCTGGCCTGTGTCTGCTGCCTGGGTGCGTTCTACATCCACCTGCAGAAGTTTGTTGAGTAGTTCACTTAGCATGCCCAACTGCCGTTTGCACTGCCTGCCACCCCACCACAGATGTGCCCTTCCTGGCCTGCGTGGTGGACTGGCACCGGGTGAACCCAGAGACACACACAGAGAGGGGGGGATGAATGGGCAACATTCATGTTTGGCTAACGGTTTCCAGCACTGGAGAGGGTAGGGAAGGGGCAAGGCTGGGCTGCCTCTGCCTTTCATTGGGACGTGTGGACAAGACAGGGATCCTCTTGTCATCTCTTCTATTCCCCACCTCCCTGGGCATGGTAGGGATTCCTGCCCCTCACTTAGCCATCCACCCCCCTTTATCGATGCAATTTGGGAATGGCAGATGGGGAAGGTGGAGGAGGAAGGCTATTCCTGACTCCTGAGCCAACTGGCTTCTTTCCAGCAGCTCTTTCTTTGCTATCAAAGATGAGGGTTTGACTTCCAGTGGCATTCTGGTGGACGACGGATCAGAGACCATGATAGTGCATGGCTTTGATCCATGCTTACCATGTTGGAGGGGTCTTTAAAGGACTGGATCCATCTGACCCACCTTGTAAGGGTGGGAGGAAGAGGGGGAGACTGCCAGCTGGGTCAAGGGGAGCTGCATCTCCCCTCCCTGGCTTGGCAAACTCCCCTAGAAGACAGGGAGAAGTGGCAGTCTTTTAATGGCTGCCTGAAGATGGGAAGCTGCCAGGACACAAGTTTTGTGCTGGAGAGTGAAAGTGGTGAGCGGCATGTAACTGGATAAAAGACTTTGAATGTTCTTTTTGATAACCCCGAAAAGCGGAAAGAGCCCTCATTTGAAAGAGTGGTAGCGGCGAATGAGAGATAAGAGGAAAATATAAGGTAAAGAAAAAAATGGAAATAAAATAATTAAATGTGATTAGGGACTAAATTTAGAATAACATACAGAATCGGACTTTAATCAGGCATTGGATAAAATGCTGGACTTATTTGGAATTGGTTAAATCTAATATTAATACTACGGAAAACTGAATTAAAAATAAAAGAATTCTAAGAAGAAAGTGATATAGAGCACCACCTAAGGGTTAAAGATTTCCTTCTTTTGTGTTTCTATGGAAAATTACTGGTTGTATATAACAAGATCCCCGGAAGCTTTATAAAGAAAAAGAAGAAGAGGGGATTACAGTTAAAACAGAGACTTTTGACAAGGAGTTTAACAGAAAAAATTGACTTTTAATAAAATAAAGAATAACTTAATAGACCAAAGAAATTGAAGAAATAAGCAAAGAATTTAAGTTGGAGCTCCAAAATGTGAGAGAGATGTTTAAAGAAAGAATGAGATTGGTGGAGTTAATGCTGAGTAAAGTAATGGCGTCACAGCTTGCGGAAGAACAAAGGAAGCCCAGAGAGGATGAATTATAAGAGGAAAATAACAGCCTTGACTAGCATGAAGAACAAGAACCATTGTCAAAGAACATAAAAGGACTTAAAACAGACATCGACATTAAAGACAATAAATAAAAGAGGTAAGACACTCAAGACTAAGAAGAAGAAGAGAATACATAAGAAGAAACCCCAAAAACGAGAACTGAAAAAGGGGGGGAAACATGGCCGACAGGCAGAGGAAAATAAAAATAAAATTAGAAGAAAAAAAGAAGACAGACTGGGGAAACTTAGAAAAGGGAAACCTAGCCAAAATTAAAAGGAATGATAAAGTTTTGAGATTTAAAGATAAGGGTTAGGGATTGTATAAGGGGGATACCACATGGGAATGTATTTTGGCATTCAGTTTAAAACTTCTTGGAAATTATTTTAGGATTATATAACTATATATATACAACTATATATATATAAAACTATATAAAACTATAACTATATAACTATAACTATAACTAAACTATAACTAAACTATAACTATAACTAAACTATAACTAAACTATAACTATAACTAAA